TCCATGAACAGGGTATATTTTTCCATCTTCTAAGATCTTCTTCTATTTCTTTCTTTAGGGTTCTGTAGTTTTCATTGTATAAATCTTTCACCTCTTTTGTTAGGTTGATTCCCAAGTATTTTATTATTTTTTTTGAGGATATTGTGAATGGGGTGGTTTTCCTCATTTCCAGTTCTCTGGAAATGTCACTGATATACAGGAATGTCACTGATATACAGGAATGCCTTAGAATTATGCGTGGCTTCATGAGGTTTATCAGAGATTTTTTTCATGGACAATCCAGAGTGAAATTAGAAAGAACCCCTTCTGTTAATGTTTGTCAGAACTGCACACAAAATGTTATGTTTGTCAGATCTGCACACAGTTTTGCAATCTAGTACCTTTGATAGAAAAGCTATCAGAGTAACTAAGCACTCACTTTCATGAAACTTTGAATCCTTTTTCTCTTGTTTCTGTTACTTTGTCTTTAAAATGAAACTTTTGCCTTCACACTGAAATTTGCTGAGGAAAAAAAAATGTTAAGAAACTAGTACGAAGAAGCCCATTTGAAACAGAGCAGTTTTACCTTTAGTTAGGACATATGTGTCTAATTAATGCTCATTGAATAGGTAGATGGACTAGGGAGTACTTGTCATTGAATAGCACTTTAGAAGAGGAAATGGGAAGAGCTTTATTAAAAAGTAAATAAGGGGCCCTGGCTGTAGCTCAGTGGCAGAATACTTGCCTGGCATGTATGAAGCACTGGGTTCAATCTTCAGCACAACATAAAAACAAACAAACAAACAAACAAATAAATAATTATTTAAAAAATAGTAAATAGGCTGTAAGACCTGCAGTGAAGTGAATGGACGCTAGATTGTTTCCTTTTTTTTCCCTTTTCTTTTCTTATTCTTTTTTATAGTACTGGGGATTGAACCCAAAGTCTTATATATGCTAGGCCAGCACTCTACCACTGAGCTATATATCCTTGGCCCTTTTAAAATTTTTATTTTAAGACATGTTACTCAGGCTGGCCTTGCATTTGCAATCCTCCTGCCTCAGAATCCTAAGTAGCTAGGATTATAGGCATACACCACTGTGCCTGGCCCTTTGATTCACCTTTTTAAAGAATTATGTACTTTAAGGTATGAATCTAAATTTGTACCCATCAAAATCAAAGGTTAATAATCAAGAAAAGAATATTTATTATTCTCATCATGACTTATATAGAAGAACAACTATATACATCATCCCAAATGTGATAAGTGGTAAAATTTACTGACTTATATAGAAATGGTGGACTGTCCAAGACAGACCAGAACAAATTGTTCTAAATAAAATGGACTTCCTTCTTTCTAGATTGTGGACTCACCTTAACAGATTTTCCCCCAGATCATTATACTTTCTAAATAATATAGAATTTGACAAAATCATTACAAATATGATGCAAAATTACATGTTTTTCTAAAATATATTTTAGGCTGCAAACCAAGGGTCAAAGTTCAAAGACCGTCGGCTACAAATATCATGGCACAAGCCCAAGGTACCATCTATATCCACTGAGACCGAGGAAGAAGAAGTCAAGGAAGAGGTAAATTCAATGATTGAATGATTAAGACTTGAATTAGATCACGTCTCATTTCCCAATTAGATATTTTCCTTCACACTAAATAGTACAACTTTAAAAATACACACACACACACACACACACACACACATATATACATGCACATATAGTGTTTTTCATGCTTTTAGTTAGATCAGTTTAGAAATAATAATCAGTCTTAAAATACAAGAAAATTGATTTTGCTGTATTAATATTGGTTTTTCTTTACTTTTTTCTTTTTGTTTGGTAATGGAGAGATTTAAGCCAGAGGCACTTTATCATTGAACTACATCCCCAGCCCTTTTTATTTTTTTATTTTGAAACAGAGTCTCACTGAGATGCTCAGGGCTTTGCTAAATTGCTGAGGATTGCTTCAAACTTGGGATCCTCCTTCCTCAGACTCCCGAATTGCTGGATTACAGGCATATGCCACTGTGCCTGGTTTACTGTTGTGTTTCTAATTAGTTTATTAAAGTGAACACTTAAGCTGTGTTGCAAATTATTTCTGATTCATCATAATCTTGGCTTTAAAATATGTCAAGAATTTATAATTGATCAAGTGTCTTCTGACTACATGGGTAATTTTATATAGCAGAAGTAGAAATCCTCACAACAGAAAGAAAGCAAAGTCTTAGTATTTTAGTAATGTTTGTGGCTACTTTGTGTCAAATTTTAAATATATGATTTGGAATATCAAGTGTCATGGGAGATTAATGTATTTATTCCTTACAAATAATTAGATAAACATAACAGGAAAAATTTAGTAGTTTGACCATTTATTTCCTCAAGTTAATGGAATAAAATTAATTTATCAGAGACATTGCTCATAGATATTTTAAAATTTTTTTTCTACCATTCACACGCATAGGTATTTATTTTCCTGATGATAATTAGAATGAAAATATATTAATATTAGCAGARGAGAATTTATATTCTTTTAAAAAGTGTTTGGGGAAAGGGAGAAAGCTTGGTTAACAAGTATAAAGTCACAGCTAGACAGGAAGAATAAATTCTTGTGTTCTATTACTCAGAATGATTATAATTAACAATGTCATACAATTCAAAGCAGTTAGAAKAAAGCATTTTGAATGTTTTCATCACAAAGAAAGAAGATCTTCTGAGATAATGATAATCTGAGTGCCCTGAGTTGATCAATATATGATGTTTGGGATTGGGATACAACTCAGTTGGTAGAGTGCTTGTCTCACATGCACAAAGCCCTGGGTTCAGTCCCCAGCACATAAAAAAAATGATGTTTGAATGTACCAAAACATCATACTATACTCTAAAAAGAGTTACCAGCCTGTTCAACAACAAACAATTTTGGGTGTTTTTTGCCCTGAGAGATAACTCTTGAGTATATCACTTGTAAATATAGCCTGGGCTTTGTATACTAGCCTGTTTCTCCATTGGCCTAAAAAGTATTTAATGTTTTAAGCGAATTTTACCCTCTCTTTCTTCAGGAAACAGAAACCTCAGATTTGTTCTTGCATGATGATGATGATGAAGATGAAGATGAATATGAGTCTCGTTCATGGCGAAGATGAAATCTGATGCAAGCTGTATAATTTTTAGGAATATTGTTTAGAAGAACAACTTTTTAAAATTATTTAAAGAAGTCAATGAGCCAAAAAAAAAWTTTTTTTATTTTTCTTTTCAACACAGTAGATTTAAGGACAGCAAGTTTGCTATTTAAACACATCTCATAATTGTACATGATATTAAAGCACCAAAGGCCTAGTGACTTTTATGCAGTTGTGAAGATCCACAGGAATGACATGGATAATCTCTAGAGCCTTATTTTCCACACCACCTGTTTTTGTTGCTATTGGTGTTGGATTATGATGTAAATGACAGGGTGTTCAGAAATTTTATTTTGGATTATAATCTGATAAAATTTCATTAAATGTCAAAATCGCCTGGAATCTCTTAACTCTCAGCTATTATGAATGGGTCGTCAGACAGTAGGAGATATTTGTAATTAAAATACCCTTTTGCTTTCAAGAGTTGTCTTGGAAGAAAAGTAAATTTAATTTTTTTACTGTGGAGCAGCCCAGTTTGTATTCACTCTCAGTTTTTTCAGGGTTTTATGTGCAGTAGTGCTATTTCAGTGAAAATCACAACAAACTCTGTTCTCAAATGCTACAAGGCAATGGTAGCTAGCTACAAGGTATTTCTATCCTCATATTAACTCCTAAACTTTTCCTGCTGCTGATCTTTGCTTTGATATTTAGTGAATTGGTTCAGTTGATCCCTTTTTTTAAAAACTCAAAATGTAAAAGGCTTTCACCTGTTCACCCTTTCTCGTTCCCTGTTTTCTTCCTGTTGCCTTTTTAGTCATAGGTGTGACTTACCCATTATTGAGATGAGTGATTTAGTTGGGCCATCAAGAGTCATTCCCCAATAAAAAGTTTTAAAACACCACCTTGATAAATAAGTGATATTTTGATAAATAAAAGGGGAGAGTCACCAGCTTCTCCCCCCACCCCTTAAAGGTTCAGTTTAGTTATAGTTAGACAAAAGGGTTAAAATGTGTCCGAAATTCTTTTCCTAAATTTAAACCATGATGGTGAGGTGACTGGGGGTAGAATGGGGGTGGGGTAGGAGGCTGGGTATGCTAGTAATAAATGGGAGTCATAACTTGACTTTGATCAGATGACCTTATATTTTCGTAATTTTGTAGCTTGTTGCTATCCATGAACATATGCATCCTTTAGTAGACAGCTTCCTTTACTGTGTGCATTTTTACTGTACACTGTATAGTATATCTGTTAAGTAAAATATATATGTAAATTTATGTCCTTGTGTTCTAAATGTTAGATGGAAAAGCAGAGGAGCAACACTACACTGTATTGACCCCTAGGGAAATAAAATGATTAATGTACATAGGATGTTACTTTTTCAAGGATATACACATCTGTGTTTTTATATGTGTGTGGTGTGAAAATTTGAAACCTTTTGGCTTCAGAAGGTTCTTGGTGATCACTATATCAAGGATTTTGTTTCCTGAGGTAAAGATTTGTTTCTGAAAGGAGAAACTATTCACTAAGAAACTTAAAACCTTCAGGACTCTAGATTTACGTAGCTTCAAAAAGTTAAATCCCATGTTCTGATCATCCTTTTCCTTCTACATATTTTCCTGGAATGATGTGTCAAACCAGGGTCATTTATAAGTTCGTGTAATTTTCCCTTAATAATAAGGACTTCCTCTTTCTAGGTTATTGTTATATTTCTGATAACACTGAAGCTAAAATAAGCTTATAAAAGAAGGAGAACATTAGAATGGGGTACCTAGAATAAGCAATCTTGCTCCTTACTCCTCCATCATCTCTAATGAAATTTTCTTGATGTCTGTGGCTCAGTCAGTATATATTTTGAAAGATTCATTGTGGTGAATATTTTGAGTCCTGACAATTTAAACGTGATAGAGGGAACAAAGGATTTATATATTTTTTGTACAAAGTTTTTTCTTAAACTGTATAATTTTGTAAATAATTTGTTTGGTTTTTTTTTTCTTTTGTGTACTAAAACTACCAGCGTATAGATTTCAATAAGAATTGTTGTATTTTTGTATTTGGAAACTGAAAATTACAGTAAATTAATGGAGCTGTAAGAAAATTTTCAGTAGACTGACAGTTCAACAGAATGAGATTCCTTTTCATATGATTTTTTAACTTCAAAGTTGACATCTTAACTGTACTCTCACTATAGAGTGAGTTGAGGATTTCTTTGACTTTTAGTTACTGGGGGCAGGGGATGAAAGAGAAGGATGCTAAAGTGAAGAACAGATGGATAGTTTTTTTTCATTAAGGTTTGAGGTCCTTTCTATAAGACTTCATTTTCAGTGTACCTTAAATAGAACTAAAAAATATTAAAATGTCCTAAGAATTCTAAAACATGCTTGATTCTCAAATGAATTCAGAACATGAATTAATTGTATTATAAAATTTAAGATTAGTATTAAGTAGTTGAATACACACACACACACACACCACACACACACACACACACACACACACACACACACACTTTTTCCCCTTTGGGAATTTTTTTACCGGCATCCTCTCCAACTCTTAGAATTCTCTAAAAAGCAAATAACTACCGTGACTTTTTTTTCTCGACACCTTTATTTACATAAATAATATACAGCATCAAGGCAAATTCTGCTGTTCTTCTTAATGTGTAGTTGATCAGCAATAAAAGCCATTAGTATGGCTAGGTCAGGTTGAGTTACTGGATTTCTGCCCAAGCCTAAAAAGGTAACCTTAAGGAATACAAAATTTCTCTCAATTTCTTCATGTCATATTGGGAAAATATTGTCACCAGCTAAGATAATAAATTGGAAAACAGTCTTGTTAAAGTGAAAAAGGTCCATTATGATGGATCATTATTTCAAAAAAAGAAGAAAAAAATCATGTGAAAAGGAATAGTGGTTCCTCTTGATGTATAGTATGCCTGTATTATAGTTTTTACAAAATTGTGAACTTGTGTAATAGTAAAATAGGAGATATTGTTGAATTTCTAACTGTTTATACATTTAAATTCATATATGTAATGTTTGTTTTATTGATTACAATCTGAATTTCTTAAGAAGCATGTTGACTTTTGCAATAAAGATGCAATATGGAATGGTTCACAATTGGGAAAAAAAGAAAAAAAATGAAAGTATTACAAATTTAAAAGAATTCGGAAAATTTATGAACCATTCCAAAAATTATAACAATCACCAAAAGAGCTGTAATTCTGGCTTGTTCTGGAAAGAAAGAATATGCGTGTGTATGCTTGCTCATGAGAGAGTGTGAGCAGTAGGTATGTATGTGTGCTTTCTGTTGGGTTCAAGTATATGAACGAATGTTATCCAATATGAATTTGGGTTCAGAGTTACTGGCTATTAAATGTCCAGGTGAACAGCTCCCTGATCAGGGTAGTCTAGAGAATGAAAGAGAAGTCTATTAAAGTGCTCCTTGTAAGTGACCATTGATAGCCATATTTTTTTGGTCATGGATAGATGTTAGTATCCCAGATACAAAGCACAAACAATATTATGAAAACAGTTATATTATTGTGAAGATATTCACTTTGTGTGCCAATAATAGGAAGGACATTTTCCTTATGTAGAACAGGAAAAAGAGAAAGAATACCTAGAAGAGATGACTTAAAAGATATTTAAGTTCTAAATGTGATGAAGATTTTGTAAGGATTAACTAGAGAAGGCAGTGATCTTACACACTGAGGTGGTGATGGGAAAGGGAAGGAGGAATATTTCACAGGGGTTCCTATTTTCTCATTTTAAAAATTGCTCTTTTTAAAATTCTCCTTAAGTGTATTGTTTGGAAGGACATTTATAATTTTCAGCTTATTCAGGAAAACATTAAGTTTATTTCATTCTTTTCAAATAAACAAATTTTATTTGTATTACATGTATTATGTAAATGGCAAATAAGCTTTATGTGGCCATTTGTTTTGAATAGATTGTTAAGTGATCCTATCCTGTGTATATGTATAATAAAATTCTGGGGCCTTTTGCAGGGAGCAAGGTTCTGAACATAGTTATATCTGTTTAACATGTCAAAGGGCTGGGGTTGTGGTTCAGAGGTTTAGCGCTCGCCAAGCACATGGGAGGCCCTGGGTTGGATCCTCAGCACCACATAAAAATAAATAAGTAAGTAAAGGTATTGTGTCCAGTTACAACAAAAAATAAATATTAAAAAAAAGAAGACAAGTCAAATGTTTTACTAAGACGTCACTTTCCTTAATAGAAACTATTGATTTTATTGATGATTTTACTGATTTTTGAGGTAATTGTGYTAAAGCCAAGGACACATTTTGAACTTCATCATATTACCTAGTCTGGATTTAGTTAACAGTAAACAGATATGACTGTATATATCAACATATGGATTTGTTTKTTTTTTTTTTTTCTGGTACTAGGGATTGAACTCAGGGGTGCTCAACCACTGAGCCATATCTCCATTCCTTTTTCAAAATTTTTAATTTTGAGATGTCTCACTAAGTTGCTTAGGACTTCACTAAGTTGCTTGAGGCTGGCTTTGTATTTGTGGTCCTCCTGCCTCAGCCTCCTGAATCACTGGGAGTACAGTGTGCCATCATACCTGGAAACTTGGAATATTGAGTAAGAGTCAAGGTTGCCTGAGGCCAAATGGGACCTACATTATACTGTAGAGCAGATGGGCTCATTTGTACTTTTTGTTATTTTTAAATTTTTCTGTTTTTAAATTGGTGTATTATARTTGTACACAGTGATGGGGATTTGTTGTTACATATTTGTATATACACACAATATAACAATTTGGCCAATATCATTTCCCAGCACTTTGGACTTGTTTTTAATCTCAAAGACCTATGTAAGGGGCCAACCATCACTGACCAAAAAAGCAAAACAACAACAACAAAAAACTACTATGGTATTATGAACTATCCTTCATTTATGTTAAATTGCTTTTGTGAAGAGATCTGCTTTCAGTAGGATCATCTATCTACCTTTTGGCCCCTTACCTCTTCTGCAGTCAACCTTAGGTTAACTAAGCCTTTCCAGCATTCTGAGTTAGGTAACTTGATACAGGTGAAATTAAGGTCAGACCAGTGTTTTGTTGATTATTTGCAATATATTTGGTTTTTGGTGGTTGTGGTAGTCATTAAGTATGACAAACATTGCTATTTCTGTGTTTATGTTAAATTATCTTTTGGTGAAAGAGCAAGAAAAGTCAATCTAATAGCTTGTTTTGGATGAAAGTACGCCTTCATTTTTTATGTTAGTTTTCTAACCACTTTATGGAGTTCTTTTTTTTTTTTTTAACTGATGATTGAACCTAGAGTTGTTTACCTTGAGTGACATTTCCAGCCAGTTTTATTCATTTTTAAAAAATATTTTTAAAAATATTTTTTAGTTGTTGATGGACACAATTGCTTTATTTATTTATTTTATGTGGTACTGAGGATCAAACCCAGTGCCTCACTTATGCTAGGGAAGCTCTCTACCACTGAGCTGTAACCCCAGCCCTTATTATTCATTTTGAGACAGGGTCTGATTAAGTTGCTGAGGGTCTTGCAAAGTTGCCCAATTTGGCCTCAAACTTGGAATCCTGCCTCAGCATCCTGAGTTGCTGGAATTATAGGCTTGTATCACCAGGCCTAAGAGCCTGTAGGGGGCTCCAGAAGACAGAATTTAGTCTTAGAGCAGTGACTGAATCTTCACAGCAAGTTGCAATGAGACGTTACATATTATAATCCAGTATATAGCACACCCCAAACAAGTTTACCATACAACATTTAGGTTTACTACCCAATAAACAGTTGGGGTCTTTTAGATAAAAATTCTTATCTGTATCCACTTTTGGACTTTCAAGGTTTTAGTTTGGAATGAGTGGCAGGATGGGTTGAATTTTTAAATTACTGTCTTTTTCACTGTGAAATTATAAATACTATTTTGAGTATAAAATAAGTCTGTTGCTCAGAAAAGTGGTCTGGAGTCTAAAGTTGGTCCTTAGTCTACAAAMTGAAAAAGCATACAGTAACTTCTTTTTTATTTTTATGTGGTACTGGGGATTGAACCCAGTGCCTCATGCATGGTAGGAAAGTGCTCTACCTCTGAGCCACAACCCCAGCTGCATTAACTTCTTAATTACTTGATACTCTTTTCTTGAACCTGAAGGGTTTTTTATTTTTTTTTTAAAGACAACTTCTGTGTGACTTTTTAAACTTGCATACAGATTTTGTACTTTTGTTATTTGTCCTCTTGGGAAGGAGGTAGAATATTAGTGCATTGGTGCTACTTTTTATGCAATTCAGTTCACTGCAGAAAGTATACACACACACACACATAAAAGAAATGCCTGTGAAGTCCATACAACAACTACTACTACTTAGTGTCTATAAATCAATAAAAATTACTTGGCTTTGAATGTACTTATTTTAGAGTTCACCTTAGCCTTCGATGATTCAAAACCAATTTTAGTTTCTGTGAAAAAGTTGTGCATATTCTAATATTGTGCCATTGAATTCTCACACTTTTTGAACCAAGTATCCCTGTAAGTTTATAAGAAATACAATAAAACCCTGTATAAAATTAATTACCTATCCTTTTAAAAAATATATGATTTTTTAAACTTCTGTATTGATTTTTTTCCACTATGTTTCTTAAAATTTTATTTTTAGCACATACTTGTACATAGAGGGTAAAATGTGATATTTCTATATATGTATATAGTTGAGTACTCATCAGAACAGGGTAATTATCATTTCCATCTCCTTATCATTTATGTTTGGAAGCTTCAAGCTCCTCTTTAGTCCTTCATGAAATATACAGTATGTTGTGAGTGATAGCCATCCTACTCTGAGGTAGGACRCTAGAAATTAATTCTTCCTATCGCCTTTGGCACCTCTTACCAGCTTTCTCTTCCACTGCCCCCACTCCCCCTAACCTTCCTAGCCTCTGGTGATTACTATTTCTTCTGAAATTGACTCTCTTCCTTAGCATCTATATGGGAGAGAACATGTGACATTTGTCTTTCTGTGTTGGCTTATTATGGTTAATGTCCTTCAGTTCCTTCATTTTGCTGCAAATGACAGGATTTCATTCTCTATGGCTAATATTCCATTGTGTATGCATGCCATATTTTCCTTATACATTCATTCATTCAAGGGACACCCTGACAATTGTGAATGTTGCTGCATTAAACATGGTAGCATAGGTATCTCTTTGATATGCTGATTTCATTTCCTTGGATATCTCAGAAATGTGTTGACTGGATCAGATAGTACATTTTAGCTTTTTTTTTTTCTTGTCAATGAATATTTATTTATATGTGGTGCTGAGACTCAAATCCAGTGCCTCACACATGCTAGGCAAGCACTCTACCACTGAGCTACAACCCCAGCCCAGATTTTAGTTTTTTGAGGAACCTCCATACCATTCTCCATAATGGCTGTTCTAATTTACATTCCCACCAACAGTCTGTAAGAGTTCTCTTTGCATCCTTCCCAGCAATTTTTTTTTAAATAGTCATTCTGACTGGGGTGAAATAACTCATGGATTTAATTTGCATTTCCCTGATGGCTAATGATGTCTACCTCCCCATCCCCCTTTTTTGGTACCAGGGATGGAACCCAGGGGTTCTCAACCACTAAGACACATTCCCAATCCTATTTTCTTATGTATTTATTTTTGGTACTGGGGATTGAACCCAGGGGGCACTCAACTACTGAGCCACATCTCCAGCCGTATTGTATTTTATTTAGAGACAGGGTCTCTTGGGCTAGGGCTGTGGCTCAGTGGTAGAGCACTTGTCTAGCACATGTGGGGCCCTGGGTTCGATCCTCAGCACCACATATAAATAAATAAAATAAAGGTATTGTGTCAACTACAACTAAAAAAAGAAAATATTTAGAGACAGGCTCTCACTGAGTTGCTTAGTGCCTCAGCTGTCTTTGAACTCGCAATCCTGTTTCAGCCTCCTGAACAGCTGGGATTACAAATCCTGTTTCAGCCTCCTGAACAGCTGGGATTACAAACGTGTGACTGTGCCTGGCTGATGTTTACCATTTTGTCATATGCTTGTTGTATTCTACTGAGAAATGTTAAGATCATTTGCTCATTTGTTAAAGAATATTTATTTACGTATCTTTAATTTTAGGTGACACGTTACTTTGTTTCTTATGTGGTACTAAGGATCTAAACCAGTGCCTTATGCATGCTAGGCAAGCACTCTACCATTGAGCCACGACCCCAGCCCCCATTTACTCATTTTTTTTTAAGTTGGATTATTCCTTGAGGTTTTGAGTTCCTTATATCTCTTACACATTAATCCTTTGTCTATGAATAGTTTACATATTTTCATCAATACATTATGTTGTCTTCTTCTGTTGTTTCCTTTGTTCTGTTGATTGTTTAGTTACCTGTTAGTTTAATATAATTCCATTTGCCTTTTTTTGCTTCTGTTGCCTCTGCTTTTGGGGTCTTATCCAAAAAACCATTGTTATATCTACATCTTGAAATGTTTCCTTTATGTTTTATTCTAGTAATTTCATAGTTTTGGCTCTTACATTTAGGTCTTTGATCCACTTTGAGTTGATTTGTTTTGTATATGGTGAGACGGGTTGAGTTTCAACCTTCTGCATATGATCTCTAGCTTTCCTACACCACTATTGAAGAGGCTGTGCCTTCTCCAGGGTACAACTTTGATGCCTTTGTTGAGAATCAGTTGGCTATAGATGCCTGGTTTATTTCTGTATACATAACTGAACTTTTTCAGTTTCTAAAATGTGAAGAGAACAATTGGAAACATGATGAAAATGTTGCA